TTTCCCCCACAGTGTGTTTTTTAAAAATTTAGTAGCCCACTTATTCATAGAATCATAGGATGACAGAATCGCAGAGTTGGAAGGGGTCGTACAGGCCGTCTGGTTCAACCCCCGGCTCAAAACAGGATCAGCCTAGAGCAGTGGTGGCGAACCTTTTAGAGACCGAGTGCCCAAACTGCAACCCAAAACCCACTTATTTATCGCAAAGTGCCAACACGACAATTTAACCTGAATGCTGAGGTTTTACTTTAGAAAAAAAACACTCCTACATAACTTAAGGTGATCCAGACAAAGTAAGGAAAGCAATCCCAAATGCTTTCATTTACTTAATATTATTTGGCAGAGAATTCAACACTTTAATGACGGTCTGGGCCTGGCTGGGGCGATGGCACGCGTGCCCACAGAGAGGGCTCTGAGTGCCACCTCTGGCACCCGTGCCATAGGTTCGCCACCACTGGCCTAGAGCATCCCTGACAAGTATCTGTCCAGCTGCTGCGGTGGGGGAGCTCACCACCTCCAGAGGCAGCTGATTCCACTCTTGCACAACTCTGACCATCATAAGAACATAAGAGAAAGCCGAAGAGCCAGCGCTGTCCGAAGACGTTTCCGTGGTCATGTGGCCGGCATGACTAAACACCAAGGCGCACGGAACGCTGTTACCTTCCCACTGAAGTGGTACCTATTTATCTACTTGCAATTTCTTGCTTTCGAACTGCTAGGTTGGCAGGAGCTGGAACTAGAGACGGGAGCTCACTCCGTCATGCGGCACACTCGGGTCTCGAACTGCTGAACTACCGACCTTCCACAGCCTGCAGTTCAGTGTCTTAACCACTTGAGCCACCGCAGCTCCTGTCCCTACCTATACCTTGTGCCTAATATCCACTGATGGACCTCTCCGCTATATGCTCATCTAATTCCCTCTTGAAGTCGTCCACCTCCTGTGGCAGTGAATCCCATGTGTGAATCACTCTTTGGGTGTTCTAACCTGACCGCTCAGCAATTTTCCTCAAAAAAAAGTTTTTCCTAATATTTTCCTAATATTTTCCTTCCTGCCCTCAATGTAAACCCATTCTCGTGAGTCCTCTCCTCTGCTGCCAACAGGAACGGCTCCCTGCCCTCCTCTAAGGGACAGCCGTTCAAAGACTTCAAGAGAGCCATCGTGTCTCCCCCCCTCAGCCTCCTCTTCTCCAGACTGAACCTTCCCAAGAAGTCCCTCAGCCTTTCCTCGCAGGGCTTCTTGGTCTCCAGGCCCTTAATCATCCTCGTCGCTCTCCTCTGCACCCGCTCCATTCTGTCCCTGCACTTGTACTTCCCAGGTAGCCATCTTGTGGTTGTGCCCATCCCCCTGTGTCAGAATTCAAAATTCGCCCACAGTCTTGAATAGGTTGGGGACTCCCGATCTTCTTAGTACTGTTTTTATTTTTATGTTTTTGAGGTGAGGAGGACATACAAAAAAAAAATTCCCATCCTCCCCCACTACTTCCCAGGTAGTCATCTTGCGGTTGTGCCCATCCCCCTGTGTCAGAATTCAAAATGTGCCCGCAGTCTTGAATAGGTTGGGGACTACCGATCTTCTTAGTACTGTTTTTATTTTTATTTTTATGTTTTTGAGGGGAGGAGAACATACCCCCAAAAAAATTCCCATCCTCCCCCACTACTTCCCCATTTATGACTTCTCTTTTCCTTTGAGTCTGTTACACCGCATGCCCGCCCTGTAATGATTTCCCTCAACGGCCGAACGTTCAGAGCCCTACTGCTGAAGTTCTAGCCGGCGAATCCTGCCCGAATCTTGCGTCCACCGCCGAAAAGAGAACCCCTCCGAGTCTTAAGTCCTTCCAACTTATGGAAGAACACAACGTGATAGTCACGTGATCCGCACCATTTGTTGGCGTGAATGGGCACGGAATTCCCCACCCCCAGTGAAACTTTGGTGGCAGTTGTCTTACTAACATTGGGGAGAAATGTGGCAGTTGTCTTACTAACACAAGCCAGGTGTGTTTTGGTTCCTCTCGTGCCACATTGGGTCCCTGTTGTGGTCAGGGCCTTTCTCGAACACCCTATAAAACATGTTCTTACTTGGTTCTATTTCAACTAGGTTGTGCTTTGGAAAAAAAAATCACCCTGGTTCTCATCAAGGCAGTCGATTTGCTCTAATCTGAATTCTGCTACCCAGTTGTCCTAAATGTCACAATCCAGAACCTTCCAGTGGGAACGAAATGCTCCATGCACACATGGGAGAATTTTTCATCAGAACATTGGTAAAGGTAAAGGTAAAGGTTCCCTTGCTCGAAAGCCAGGCGAATCCGACTCTAGGGTTGCGGTGCTCATCTCCGTTTCAAAGCCGAAGAGCCAGCGCTGTCCGAAGATGTTACCGTGGTCATGTGGCCGGCGTGACTAAACACCAAGGCGCAGGGAACGCTGTTCCCTTCCCACCAAAGTGGTACCTATTTATCTACTTGCAATTTCTTGCTTTCGAACTGCTAGGTTGGCAGGAGCTGGAACTAGAGACGGGAGCTCCCTCCGTCATGCGGCACACTCGGGTCTTGAACTGCTGAACTACCGACCTCCCACAGCCTGCAGTTCAGCATCTTAAGCACTTGAGCCACCGCAGCTCCATAGGACATTGGTAGCCCCCTCCTAACCAGAGTTGCACGCTTGTATGCCCATTGACTTCAGTGGACTTAGAAGGGTGTAACTTTGCCCTGATCTCAGATGCACGATTGACCTGGTTAGTACTTGTAAGGGGGACCACCAAGGAAGTCCAGGGTTGCTATGCAGAGGCAGGCGAGGGCAAGCCACCTCTGTTCATAAGAACATAAGAACATAAGAGATGCCAATGTTGGATCAGGCCAAAGGCCCATCCAGTCCAACACTCTGTATCACACAGTGGCCAGAAATACCAGTGCCATCAGGAGGTCCAGCAGTGGGGCCAGGACATTAGAAGCCCTCCCACTGTTGACCCCCCCCAAGCACCAAGATGACAGAGCATCACTTGCCCCAGAGTCCCTATCTATACCTTGTGGCTAATAGCCACTGGTGGACCTCTGCTCCATATGCTTATCTAATTCCCTTTTGAAGCCGTCCATGCTTGTAGCCGCCACCACCTCCTGTGGCAGTGAATTCCATGTGTTAATCACTCTTTGGGTGAAGAGGGACTTCCTTTTATCTGTTCTAACCCGACCGCTCAGCAGTTTCATGGAGTGCCCATGAGTTCTTGTATTGTGAGAAAGGGAGAAAAGTACCTCTTTTTCTACCTGCTCTTTCCCATGCATAATCTTATAAACCTCAATCATGTCACCCCTCAGTCGTTGTTTCTCCAAGCTAAAGAGCCCCAAGCACTTTAACCTTTCCTCATAGGGAAAGTGTTCCAACCCCTTTATCATGCGAGTTGCCCTTTCCTGCACTTTTCCCAAAGCTATAATATCCTTTTTAAGGTGTGGTGACCAGACCTGCACACAGTATTCCAAATGTCTCCAGCCTTGAAAACCCCACATGATCGCGACAATCCAGCTGCCATTTGACAGGGCATCCCACCACCAGCTTCGCAGAGGATTGTGCTATCAGAAATATGAAGACCCGAGGGGGTGGGGGGAACCCCCCAAAAATGGGGAAAGTCCCCTCCCCCCAGGACTTTCATCTCCAAATTTCTCCAATATAAAAATGCTAATTTTTTGGGAGCACTAAAACCGTGAAGTATTTTCTGTTTTTGTGAACGGAATGCTTCTTAAGGAAAGGTTTTACACACTCACAATACGAAGTATGAAATTATTTATGTTCAGACAATCTGTAGCATTAGATAATGACAAGTAGGGGACCCACGAAACTCACGGGGTGGATCCTGTCCTTTTTGTACCCCCCCTGCGCCCCCAGGAGGATGCCCACTCGCTGGCCAGCCTACCTGGGGGGGGAGATGGTCATTTTTTTCTGAAGAACACCCCCCCTATCTTATCCCAGCCCCACTCTCCAAGATTTTGTTTCTGCAGGGGGGGGGGAGGCAGGTTCAGAATTAAATACAGGAGAGCCCCTGCATATGCTGTAGACATACAAAATAGGGTTAGAGCATTGAGCCAACTTCAGAGGACAGCGGAAGACCGGAAGGCCTGGCGAGAGCTGGTCCATGGGGTCGCGAAGAGTCGGACTCGACTGTGCGACTGAACAACAACAACAAATTGAACTAGGATCTGAGAGCCTCGAGTTCAAATCCCACCTCTGCCATGGAAGTTTTCTGGGTCACCTTCGGCCACTGACTCACTCTTAGCCTAACCTAACTCCTAGGTGTCGTTGTGAGGAGAAAAATGGAGAAGAGGAGAATGTTGTCAGTTACCTTAGTCCCCCATTGGGGAGAAAGGAGTACAGTGTAAGTAAATGATTATTTCCTTTGGGGGCGTTTGGCCAGAGAGGTCCACACACATACCTTCTTCACGAGGTACCCCTCCCGTATGCGTCTGGGTTCTCTCTCCGGCTCTTGATCCATCCTCGGTTGTCCTGTCAGGTCCGACGGAACCGGCGGTTCAAACACTTCTGACGGCGCCGGGGTTTTGCATACTGCCTGGGCTAAAGTTGTCACTTTCATAAGTTCCCCCGCTCGGTAATCACATGAAAGCATACCCAATTTCCCCTTCCGGGAGGAGGAAATGCAGAAACAGACGTTCGTACTGTTAAGCACTTTTCTGTTCTGAGCCAGCAGGATGAAGAAAGCCTTAAATGAAAGTAAATAACCATTGTTTGTTCACAGGGTGGTGGTCATAAAACAAGGTTTTCTTGGCACATGGTTAAGGAATGCATATTAAATTCGATTTAAGAAGCCTCCGGTGGAGTTATAAGCTTGCAGGGGGGGGGGCTTCCCCAAACAGAACCTGAAAACGTGGTAAAGACATCTTATCAATGGCAATAATTGTTCCACTATGTTGTCGAAGGCTTTTCACGGCCGGAGTTCATTCGCTTCTGTAGATTTTTCCGATTGTATGGCCGTGGTTTTGGTATTGTAGGACCTGACGTTTCACCAGTAGCTGTGACTAGCATCCTCAGAGGTATAACACAGAAAGATGGCGTACTCTCTGTGTCAAGGTGAGAAGAAAAAATGGTAGGCAGGTAATTCATAGCTATTCAGGAAGGTGGGGTAGAGCTGAGTCATGATCTTGTAGGAGTTCCCCAGGCTATGAACATGTTAATGGAGGAGCTTTCCTGAGGAGGTTCTTTTGCATACGGATTGTTTCTGGGGGAGGTTTCCTGTTTCCTGAGGAGGTTCTTTTGTATGTGGATCGGCTGTTGAAATTCTAATCTTATCTGTGGTGCTATTGTCAGATGTAGCACTACATCTGGTTATTGTACTGAAATAAATAGGAACCTTGGCTAGCTGAATGCCAGCGTAGGTACTAGTTTGGTTAAGGACATTTCCATACAATAAATTCTGGACCAGGGGTCCCCAACCGTTCGTCCTTCCATCCATCCATCCATTCACTTATTTGTTTTGATTTGTCAGCTGCTGTTCCCCGGAGACCGGGCTCAGGGCGGTGTACAACATACTCACAAAAACATCAGCTAAAACAAAAGTTAAAAAACAATAAAAACCAACAGTTTAACTAAAGATGGTCAAAGCGATGGTATTCCCAGTAGTACTGTATGGCTGCGAGAGTTGGACCATAAGGAAGGCCGAGCGTCGAAGAATAGATGCCTTCAAATTATGGTGCTGGAGAAGGCTCTTGAGAGTCCCTTGAACTGCAAGGAGATTGAATCAGTCAATCCTAAAAGAAATCATCCCTGACTGTTCCCTGGAAGGCCAGAGACTGAAGCTGAAGCTCAAATACTTTGGCCGCCAAATGAGAAGGGAGCACTCAAGGGAGAAGACCCTGATTCTGGGAAAGATTGAGGGTCAAAGAAGAAGGGGACGGCAAAGGATGAGATGGTTAGACAGTGTCATCGAGGCAACGAACATGACATTAAGCAAACTCCGGAGCAAACTCCGGAACACGATGGAAGACAAGCCCGGCTTGATGTGGTCCATGGGGTTCGGAAGAGTCACACTTGACTGTGCGACTGAACAACAACAACAACAAAAACCCCAAGAGCATCACTGTCTCATGATAGGGCAGGGGGTTGGGAGTGCCAGGATGGAACCGTCGCTGTCCTCAACCAAATGCCTGGCGGAACATCTCTGCCTTGCAAGCCCTGCGGAACCCATGGGCACATTTGGAATTCTGACAGGGCATGTTGGGCGCAGCCACAAAATGGCTGCCGCGGGAGGCAGAGCCAGCCGCAAAATGGCCACGGCGGCTTAACTTCAGTCACACAGTGTGGATCGTTGTTCTGTGGGGGCAGCTGCGGCTGAAGCAACATTTTAAAAAAATCTCCACCGCCAATCAGATCTTTAATATTTCATCAGAAGCCTTACTGCGTACAGCCTTACCTGGCTCCTTCCGCTTCCTAAAAACACCTGGCAGGTGCCAGAAAAGGTGTCGGCAGGGGCCATGGCTCCCACAGATGCCACTTAGGGGCCCGCCTGCTCTAGGCGTTTCCGTGAGGGTCCAAGACAAGCAGCTTGTGGTGCGGCTGTTCTCAATCTGCTTCCTTCAGCTTCAACAGAATTAAGAGGCTATCACTCGGCTTAAGAGTCCCTGATTAAAGTCAGTTGTACATGAGGCCGAAGCCAAATTTTCCTGGACCCGGAACAGAACGTGTGACACGCCCCCAGATCCCAGCCCTTTAGGTAGGGTTGTCAACATCCAGGTGTGGCCTGGAGATCTCCTGGCACCAAGAAGAGGAGGAGGAGGAGGAGGAGGAGGAGGAGGAGGAGATTGGATTTATACCCCGCCCTTCACCCGGAGTCTCAGAGCAGCTTACAAACTCCTTTCCCTTCCCCTCCCCAGAACAGGCACCCTGGGAGGTAGGCGGGGCAGAGAGAGCTCTTTCAGGAACTGCCCTTTCAAGGACAGCTCTGACAGAACTATGGCTTGCCCAAGGTCATCCAGCAGCTGCCAGTGGAGAAGTGGGGAATCAAACACGGTTCTCCCAGATGTACTGCTTCAGTACAAGGCAGCTTCATATAAGTAACTTCTTTTAAAAAAAACATACACATCACAAAAGAGTGCTTGGGTGGGGCAGGAGAAAGGATGTTTCTCATCCCGACAAGAGCCTCACAGGCCCAATTTGATCAAGGCCTGTGGTAGAACTCCACAGTCTTTCACTCACACCCACATCCAGTGGGCTACCTTAGTTGTGAGATTATGTATAGCAGAGTTCCCATTTTCCTACTTGTAACACCTGACATTCAGGCATCCCGCCCCCCCGGCCCCCGCAATATCTTTACATAAATACTATTTGGCTGGGAAATATCCGGACACCCCAGAACGAAGGGGTAACTAATACATGATTATTGCATTTAAAAAAATTGCTTGCATTAACCCTGAAGCTGTCAATCTGTCGTTAAAATGCACGCAGCAGCCAGATGGTTGCGATCTCATGCAATGGGAACATCGCCCTCTTCTGGTGTCTGACATAGTGTGAAACAAGAACATTCTATGCTTTGCTTTCTCTGTAGTGTGTCTTGCTCGAACAAAGGTTGATTCCAGTGGCACCTTTGAGACCAACAAAGTTAATTCTGGGTACAAACATCCGTGCGCATGCACACTTCTTCAGGCACAGATGCACACGAAAGCTTATACCCAGAATTAAACTTTGTTGGTCTTAAAGGTGCCACTGGACTTAGACGTCATTCTGTTGCTTCAGACCAAATACGGCTGACCATCTGCATGTATATTGCTAGGACGGCCAACACTGTTTTTGCCTGTTCTCTTAGTAATGAAACGTGACTCTGGAATGAAGAAGAAGAGGTTGGATTTATACCCCACCCTTCACTACCTGAAGAAGTCTCAGAGCAGCTTACAATCTCCTTTCCCTTCCCCACAACAGACACCCTGTGAGGTAGGTGGGGCTGAGAGAGCTCCTTCGAGAACGGCACTTGAGAGAACAGCTCTGAGAGGACTTGTGACTGACCCAAGGTCATGCTAGCAGCTGCATGTGGAGGCGTGGGGAACCAAACCCGGTTCTCCCAGATTAGAGTCCATGCTCCTAACCACGACACCAAACCAGCTGTCCACTTCATCTTCAGTGAAAAGGACCCCATTGAAACTAGGTCACGATCGTATCTCCTAATCCAGGGGTTCCCAACTTTTTCCAGCCTGTGGCCCCATTGGAATTCTGGCACAGTTTGGTGGATGCGGGTACAAAATGGCTGACAGAAAATGGCTGCCGCAGCTTATCTTCAGTCACAAGATGAAGATCCTTGTGATGTGGTGGCAGCTGCTGCCTAAGTCAAACAAATCTCCAATGGCCAATCAGAAACCTTGCTGGGCAAAAGCCCTACCTCGCCCCACCCACTTCCTAAGAGCACTTGGGGAGCACCAGGAAAGGTGTCAGCAGGCACCCTGGTGCCCATGGGCACCATATTGGAGACCTCTGTCCTAATCTCTGCTCAGATCAGGCACAGGGGACCATAAATGATCTTTAACACCAATCAGTTATTTTAATGTATAGTTAGGGTTGCTAGGTCTATGGACCTGGCCGGCGGAGGAGTGGGAGGGAGCCTTCTGGGAGTGGGAAGAACAGGGTGACGTTGCTGTGCATGACGTTGTCAGTGTGATAATATCAAGCAGAAGTGACATCATCACACTGGGAATATCATGCAGTGACACTCTAGCATTTTGGTCAAAACTCTATGGTTACTGTAGAGTTTTGGCCAAAATGCTAGAGCTAGAGCCATGTGACATGCCCAGCGTGATGATGTCAGTCCTGGGTGATGTTCACACAGGTAACATCATCACACTGGGCACATCATGCAGTGACACTCTAGCATTTTGGTCAAAACTCTATGGTTACCGTAGAGTTTTGGCTAAAATGCTAGCGCTAGAGCCATGTGACATGTCCAGCGTGATGATGTCACTTCTGCGAGTGACGTCATCACACTGGGCACATCATGCAGTGACACTCTAGCATTTTGTTCAAAACTCTATGGTTACCGTAGAGTCTTGGCTAAAATGCTAGAGCTAGAGCCATGTGGCATGCCCAGCATGATGATGTCACTTCTGTGTGATAGTATCATGCAGAAGTGACATCATCACACTGGGCACATCATGCAGTGACACTCTAGCATTTTGTTCAAAACTCTATGGTTACCGTAGAGTCTTGGCTAAAATGCTAGAGCTAGAGCCATGTGGCATGCCCGGCATGATGATGTCACTTCTGTGTGATGTCATCACACTGACAATGTCAATGTGGGAAGGGGCTGTTTGGGGGCCAGTCAGGCGGCAGCGGATTGAAACCCCCGAATTCAGGGGAACCCCCCGCTCTGACCGAGAGTCTGGCAACCCTAGGTATAGCCCACTCCCCAAACCCTGCATAGACCTCGAAACTCATAGCCGATTCAGCTGAGTTCTCTTCCCACCACAGATGCCTCCCCATCCTTCATCCCATTATGAAAATCTACCTGCATCCTGATCTCATCAGTGGCTAAATGAGTGCTCAGACTATGGTCGGGAAAGC